CCGAGGAAAAATAATTAACTTGTTACCCATTTACTTATGAATACATATTTCAGGGTTTCAGTTTCAAGAAAACATATCATGGTCTTTCCAAGACAAAAAAGGGATTTAATGAGTTAAGTTATTGGAAATAAAAATAATTTTATAATACGTATGAAATTTGTTTATCCGATAAATGAAAATGATAATGCCTGGAAGTAAGGATAACGTACCATTCCTGAAAATTACCATTTCATTCACGTACGTATGCACGACTAGACCTACACACACTCAGCAGGACAAATTTATAGCTGAGAAAAATCGTATGCTTTATCGCCAGTTTTACAAGGAAATAGCAGGAAGCCGTAATAAATAGTAAGAGGAGTCTTCAATATGTCAGGTTAGTGAAAAATGAAATATAACAACCAAGATCTCGCCCATGCGACATGAGTCATGATCATGACGCCGCGCGCTGGTCGGGCTCGGCTAGCTGCGCTCGCGCTCGGGACATTTTTTGTGTGTTTTTTTAAGTGTGTGAAAAAAACTGTGAATGACAATGCAATGTCAATGCCATGGCCAAGCAAGCATGCGATTGAATAGAGATTATCTTATTCATTCATATAGATCTACATTAGTCTACATGTGCATGTGAGTGTATTGATAATGATATTATTGATCAATGTCTGAACTCTAGTCCGATTACAAGGGTAGCTTCGGGCTCAGGCTCGGAGGAGATGCATCTGTGGCCAAGGCCAAGGGCAAGGCCCAATTGGCAATACAATAGCAATGCCATGGCAATGCGCATGCTGAACCTGAGTGATGCTGGTGTTGTTAGACAAGGTGCACGTGCATGAAAGTTAAAACAAAGTTAAATACCTATTTTTTTTATTATTTGGAAGTAGGAGTAGGGAGGCCAATGCCCGGGCGTAAGACTTATACGCCTACGATTGTGCGCTCGTCGTCCAAGTCAGAAAATTACCAGAAGAAAAAAATAAAGAAAACAAATATCTAACAGTTAGACCCCTCTATTGAATACAATAATAGATCTAGATCTATAGACCTAGGGTCTATAACAAAAATACAATTTTACACTCCACAATAGTGCTGTAACATCACGGATATCTCCAATTCCGTTTAACCGCCTGTCAAAACCGGACGGTTTTCGGTTTTAAACGATTTATTTAAAAAAAAAAAAAAAAAAAAAAAAAAAATGGTTTTGTTTTTGTTTTTGTTTTTGTTTTTTTGGCCGTGTGAAAAAGCAGGAAGGTGATTTAACTGAAGGCGCCGATTTGTGCTTGTGAAGTAGTCACAAATAATTAGTAACAATGTCGTTTTAGAATAATGTGTAAGATCATTAAAGTAAATTAAAAACAGTAGAGGACCTAGGATAGAACCTTGTGGTACAGCATGTGTTAAACTAGGATGAATATATATTGAGATCTATTACAAAGATTAATTTCAAACCAAGATGACAGACAAATTGGAGTGTTGTTCTAGTTTCCAAATGGTAAGTCATCACACCGATTACTGAGCTGGGAGACATTGCCAGGCATAGTGCCAGGTGGAGGGGCATAAATCGAAACTTCAAAAAAAAAAAAAAAAAAAAAAAAAAAAAAAAATTAAAAAAAAAAAAAAAAAAAATTATTAAAAAAAAAAAAAAAACGGGTAAACGAAACCGTCCAATTGAAAATGGAATCCGCCATGGGCGGTCGGATACCGGACGGTTAAACGTTTGACTACAGCACTACTCCACAACATACATATAAACAAGGATCTGTAATGGTCTTTCACCATTTGTTGACGATCTTGCATATTTTGACGTATTTCAATCCAATAATTGGGCTAGCAGTAGCCTACGAAAATAACGCACGCACAACAGAAACTAGAGGGGTCCTAGAGGGCGCGGAGGTTAGCTCACTAAAATCCTTCTCAATGACTGAAGGTAGAGCCTAAAAATATGGAATCAATTTAATATCAAAGAACTTTTGATAGAGATTAACATATCAGATGTGCACAAATGTCACTTTTAACAACTAGAAAATATAAAGAAAAAAGATTATATCTTTTTAAATACAGATTTTTACAAACTGCACATTCGAAGGTAGACAGAGTACGATGTTTCTGTCAATCTTGCGTTGGTTTGAGGCCGATAGCTACAGCCATCTCAAATTGAGAAGAAAAAATGTGAACAGTGATGCCATTGTTCAAGCCCAAAATAGAGGTATTGCGACATCATAATATGAATATGTATGAGCTCCGGTCACGTCACGCGCCAGACATATCTCTTGTAGTCTCAGACACAGTACCTTATTCTCAGCACTAGACACCAGTGTCGTGCAGTAATGTATGAGGCGAGTTGGCTCAGTCGGTAAAGCGTCCGTCTGTCGAACCAAAGATCCCGGGTTCGACTCCCACCCAGGCGGATGACTGAAGCCTGCGTTGTGTGTTAACGTGCCCCTTCCCTTGTTCATAGACGCAGGTTATGTCAAGTGGAAAACACTCCGTCCCTCGGATAGGACGTTAAATGGAGGCCCCGTGTAGAGAAGAGTCACTACCTTTGTACGTTAAGAACCCACTGCACTATTTGTATAAGAGTAGGGGGAAACCCCGGTGTAGTAGTCCACCTGCACCCCCCAGTACAAGTTAGCGACATGCGGAATACCGCCCTGCTGACTCCAAATTCAGAAGGTTCAGAAGGCCAAGTTAAAAAAAAAGACATTTCAGTAAAAAAAAGGTCTACGTGAGCAGTCTATACTCCAATTGAGAAATGTAATGAATGCCATGATTTGAACGTGTGTGTTTTAGTGTATGATATGGTTAGTGAGAGAGAGAGAGAGAGAGGGAGAGAAATATCTCCGTCGGTACACGTCTATCATATGTCTGCGTACGTTGGATGCGTGCAGTCCTATTGACTATGTTTGATTCCGTATTGTGTTCGCTGCAAGTACAGTTGGATTTATCGATCGTTGATAATGCAGTGTCAGATTGATCTTTACTTGTGAGGAAATAGTAATTGGAATAATTGGAATCTCAAAACTAAGGTAGGCCTATTTATTTATTTCGATCACTTTCTTAGTTTACAATGAGTGGCTTTCGAGCTTTCTCTCTATTATGTTTTTACCCTCCATGCCATGGCTTTTTCAGGATTTCAGGATTGCGGCTTGCATGCAATTACCGTACCTGGCCTGTAGTACTGTGTCGGTGCGGTGTGTGCGACCGATTCAAGGCTAGCCGGATGATGAATGTACTTTCGCGCGAAGTTTTGAACTTGTTGTTCGGGCAATGACACGCCCTATTCCCTCGGGCCTGTCTAATTCTCGACGTAATTTTCGGGGACATGAAATTGATTGTTTCAAGGCTCTTACATACGGCCAGGCGTAGAATGAAGGCCATAGAAAATAGCTGGATATCTCCTACTTTATGGAACTTCTGGAGTCGGCAGATGGGTGAGTTTTCTTAGTGAAAGAAAATGCATTCTTTTTATGTTTGTTTTATTACAAACAAATTGGTAATTAAAAAGTTAGATTTGGGCATTGGCCTCCCTAGTAGGAGAAGGTGGTAGAGTAGAGGTGCATGTAATAGAACTAGAGTCGAAGAAGAGAGGGTCAGAGGGTAGAGGAGAAGAAGAAGAAAAGAAAAAGAACGAGGAGGAGGAGGAGAGAATATGAAGGAAGAGGAGGAATATGAAGGAAGAGGAGGAATATGAAGGAAGAGGAGGAATATGAAGGAAGAGGAGGAATATGAAGGAAGAGGAGGAATATGAAGGAAGAGGAGGAATATGAAGGAAGAGGAGGAATATGAAGGAAGAGGAGGAATATGAAGGAAGAGGAGGAATATGAAGGAAGAGGAGGAAATGAAGAAGAAAGAGAGGGAAGATGAAGAAGAAATAGGAGGACCAATAGACCTTGTAAGATTAGCCTTGTGCTACTGCTACCAATTAAGTCTACTTCTACTGAGAGGAGTCGAGTGTCGCACCCCATCTCTGATCTCATTCTTGAAGTTGAAGTAAATTGAGCATTTGAATTAAAGCTCACATACAATTTTGGTAGCAATAAGAAAATCTGCAGGATTAATGTAAATAATATTCCTGTTTCAAGTTTCAACAGATTCATACATGTGCAAGATCATATTCTGATCATTTGATATTTCTTCCTTGAGCAAATTTTAGAATTTTTAAACTATGGTCCATGGATCAAACATCAAATTCTGTGCACAAGTATTTTAGTTGTACCACTCCACCATCATCATCTTAGTCATGTACTGATACTGGCAAGTGTGTAGGGTTAGTGTGCAATGTTGGTATCAAGACGAAATTCATGATACTCAAATATAAGTTGTTTTGTTTTATTTAGCATGTTAAAAGCAGATGTTGTAATCCACAAGGTTCTTCAAACATTCAGACATTCATAACTTTCTCATATTCATTGGATTCTGCTAAAAATTGATTAAGCTTTCACTAATCTGTTTCTCTAATTTTCTGCTTCCATTAAAACTAATTTTATATCAGGGTTGACTTTCCCTTTTAGATAGTAAACTCTGACTGACCTGCTTTACATGACTGTCTGAACGAACATATTATATTGAATTTGAGGGATTTTTTCCCCCTTTTTCTTTCTTGGCAAATTAATGTTCATTTCAGAGTAATCAGAGTCAGGCTTATCAGAGTGTACCAGTGTGTACCAGTAGACTTGGGGTTTATTGTAGCTTTGTGTATTTTCTACCCATACATGTAGGTACCATTATTGTATACATGTATACTCTAAATGCAAGGAATTGTGGGCATGATGTTGTTGATTCTGACCTAGTCTCCTTCACCCAATCCCAATGTCATTGAGTTGTTCTACAAACAAACAACAGGTCAATAGCACTCTCTGCTCCTGTATTATGACTAAGCCAAGCAGTGTTGAAAGTCACCACAAGGACAGACCTATTGCAACAGAAATTCTTAGAACATGTACGTATGTGTGCGGTCGGGCACGTTGCATTGTATTGTGTGTGCACTCATGATGAACCAGTGTATTGTGGGTGGATATTTCAAGTACAAGAGGATTGGTTGCTCAGTTCATCATTTCATCAGCTTGTCTTTGAAGGAATAGGAAGGACAAAATATTTTTTTTACTCATAGTGGATATTTTTTTTGGTAAACCGTCACTATCATTAGCCAAGAGTATTTAAAGCTCTGATTCAAGTGAAATTTCATCATAACGATTTAGAACCTTGTTGGGATCACATCACTCGATACAAGCCGAACTGTCTGCCATCAGTGCTCAATTTGATTTGGATACTTCTACAATTTTAATCTAGTTAGTATTTACTTATTCATGTTTTGTGCTTTTCTCAGCAATCTTGTGAAGTGGTATTATATTGTTGCATATGTTGCTTTTTATCTTGTTTTTCTTTGGTCATGTTTGTCTGTTATTTAATTTGTTCATTGATTTTTCAGATTCTATGCAATTGGATATATATGTTCATTCAATTTTTTATATTCCTGGTTTTCATAGTGAATTTGTTATTGGATTTGATTTGATTTATACATAATTTCTATTTGCTGTAGATTTGTATTAATTATACATGTATGTACAGTACAGTTGATTACGGTACCATTCAAATATTGTTGTACTTTTTTATTGAAGCATTATGTCATCAATAGATTTTGTTTTTGAAAAATTCAGGACCCAAGCTATATTTTCTTTTGCAAATGTATATGGAATTAAAGAATGGATAATAAATTCCATTATTTTTTTTGTAATATCATATCGATATTTGATTTTGATTCAAAGAGGCATTTGCATATGCATTTACATTTAAAGTTATTTATGGTATGTTAATGCTATGTAGTGAAAGGATTTTAGGCCATAGCAACTTTGTGCAAATTGTGTTTTCCTCCTATTTTTCTTGAGGTAGATTTATTTCAACCAAAAACTTTAACCCCAATTTTAGACATACTAGGAAAAACAAATTTTGTAATGCTTTACTGAACTTCAAGAAGAGAATAATAAATACCATACACTGTATATATGATTATTAAAGCCAGTACCTTATTTGGTTATATTTTGTAAAAAGGAATGAATATTGTTTGTTGGTGGTGAAGTGATTGAGGAAAACAGAAAGCCTCTTTATTCTTTCATGTATATTAGATCTACACATTGTCATTCTCTGTATTCCTTTTTCCTCCTACAGAAGCCCAGCAACCACCCAGCATGAAGCCCGAGATTGAGAACCAACCTATAGGAAAGGGCCAGGGCGATGAGTGTGGCAACGAGGAGGTCAATGTCATCAACCGTGTGGCCGCACTACCCATGGTCAGCTCAACCTTGACCCAAATGACCAATGCTTACAACTGGAGCAAGGACAAGAACAGCCTGGTCAAGTACACTCTGGAGATGGCCGAGAGCACCGTGTCCATGGCTGCTAGCACTGCACAGCCAGTGGTCAACAGACTTGGAGGACCAAGTAAGATTGATTGTGATTTGGTCTTGTTTTCTATATATTTCTCTTTAATGGTCTCTCTCCTCTTTATCTCTATTTTCTATTTCTCTTTTATCTCTATTCTCTATCTCTTGTAATGGAAAAGGGGTGGTTGATGAGAGTTTACTAAAAGAGAGAAAACAATGGTTATTTTCTATATCTTTTATGTCTTTCTCCTCTTTATCTCTATTTTTTTCCTTTTCATTTCTCTCTTTCCCTCTTCTTGCAAGTGGAAAGGGGGGGGGGGGGGGGGGGGTCAATCGTAGTGTAGTAAGTTAGTAACAGAAAAATAATTTATGATTTTCTCTTACCAATTACAATGAACAATTAGTCCATATTTTTTGTGAAACACTGAAATTTTCGGCTAATGTCATTGTTGTGTAGTTCAATTTTTTTTTCTCCTTCTAAAAAAACCCCACCCAAATCAGATAATATACTTTGAATTTCTATCTTCAGGGCTTCAAGCATTCCCATTTATTTTCAGTTTAATGGGGTAGATAACTGAAGATGTAACTTGATGTTTCACTTCTTTTCTTTCAGTTTCTGCTGCTAATGATTATGCTAACCAGCAGATGGACAAACTAGAAGAGAAGGTCCCCATCATCACGGACACACCTGAAAAGGTACGTAAAATGCATCAAGCCATCATTTTTATAATAACTTTAATAGTGCCGAGGTGCTGCCATGGGGATGTACAGTAGAAAGATATTGTGGAAAATCATTTTACCATCTTTTGATGTGCAGACTTGGTTTAGTGTAGACCATCAAAAGCACATCTAAATTACAATTTTCAGAGACCAGGGCCCTAAAACATTTATTAAAAAAATCAAATTACAATCAGTTTAAAAAAAATTTATTATCATCCTTGCTATAGGTCATTGTATCTTTCTGAATGTGAAATTTATTTAAATTACGATGGATTAAATTTAATTAATTTGTAGTGTTTTTAAAACATGGCTTTGTATAAAACTAGAATGACATGCAAAAATAGTGTGCATGTAGGCTTTTTAATCCATCAAGAATTGTTGCTTAGCCTTGTCAATAGGGAAAGTTCATTCTGGAATCAAGTTGATTTCACTGTAGGCAGAAGGACTAAGATCATTTTTAAGTTGGACTTAACTATGGCAGGCCATCCATGCCACTGTTTTCTCTCACCATTTACTGGCATTGGTCTCTCAAGGGACTTACAAATCAAGGTCACAAATCTACAGAATTTACTTTTTTTGATAGTTCATTATTGAAGGAAAAAAATATTATGTAAAGATCATATTGGTGAGAGCAACAAGTGGCATGAATGGCCTGCCATAGTTAAGTCCAACTTAAAGGCCGTCTGTACTAGTTTGGCTAGGACGGATTAGACCTTCCAGGAAGGTCACTGACAGGTGGCTATCTCATCAACTCAGCTTTCAATTAACATAAGAAAAAGAGGATCATGGGGGACCAATGGTCACCAATTAGGCATTGTTTTCTATATATATATATAGAGGGAGGAAGTAGCTACAAGTAGTACAGTAGGCCTTTAAAGTCGGTCTCAGTCTTTGTGAAACACTCCCCAGATCAGTAAAAGTTTGAGCAAAATCAGATAGGGAAGTTATAGATGTGATCGAACACACAACACAGATGAGTAACTCTATGAATTCCCTTGCTTTAATAACAACGACCTGGGGCCCGTTTCACAAAGCCTTTTTTCAATGACAAATGACAAAAACCAGTGACAAATCTGCTGATAACCAATCAGAAGCAAGGATTTCAGTAGCTTATAACAAAAACTGTCATTTGTCACTGATGACATATTTTGTAAAATGCTCCCCAGATGATGACTGACCTCCAGGATGGCACCAAGAAGATGATTGAGAACACCAAGAAGGCCGGTTCAGACAGGATCAACAACCTCCTGCTGACCAGACTGGGGATGGCACTGACCACCAGTGTGGACACCGCTCTTCTGCTCTCTGAGTTTGCCGTCGACTACTACCTTCCTGCTGAGAACAGTGAGTAATCAAGAAGGGAATCAATCAATGCTTGTACACTGATAGACTTGGGATGCAACACTTTATTTTTTTGTATGCTGGTTCAAAGTAATTTATTGGGGTCTGTTTGCACCAAATACAAGGCAGGTGATAGTGTCGGGACCTGGTCTAGTGCATTTTGAAAGGGTGATTGTGGAATGGATATAAAATAGTAAGAAAGCAAATTAACTGAAGAATTTTTTTCTTCCCAGCTTGCCTAATGCTCAGTAGATAATAAACATATACGTACATGTAGTCACTGTATTGCTTTTCCTGTAGCATCCTATTATGGTCTTGGGATATTGGTTGTAGATTTCCCCAAAGTCTATATTAGAAATCTTAACTTTCATTTCCTTTGTGCAATCATTGAATTTCACTTTAGTTTCACTTTTATCCTCATCTGTTAGATTAACTGTGTTTCACTTTTGTTTCTTGAGAATGGACTTAGATTCCGACTCCATATTACATGTACAAGCAAGCAAGTGCCCTTTAGATCTTTAGTCCTCAAGATTTTAATCAACTATGTACGTTTAAGGTGAAGGCTTCCATTTCATTAGATTTAGTGATTAGATTTATAGAGTTGTGTACAATGTTTGGTCCAGGAGAGTGTTTCACAAAGCCTTTTTTCAATGACAAGTGACAAAAATCAGTGCAGATCTGCTGATAACCAATCAGAAGCAAGGATTTCAGTAGCTTATAACAAAAACTGTCATTTGTCACGGATGACAACTTTTGTGAAATGGGGCCCTGGTTGAAGTTTAGAATTTGATTGGTGTAGGTGCTTCACCTTGGAGCACTTGTTGCCTGTGTGTGATGTTACAAAACCCTTCTCGGTGGTCAAATCCTGTCTCCAGTGAAGTACAGTCAAACCTGTCTATAGCAACCGCCCAAGGGAAACACAAAAAGTGGTCTTTGTAGACAGGTTCCTTTAGTACATGTTTCAATGAGAAACCATTTTCAAGGGAAACAAAAAATGTGCTTGTTGTAGACAGGTGGTCACTCAAGCAGGTTTGACTGTAGAACCTTCTTCTCCTCTTGCAGACTCTAGCAACGGTGAGAAACAGGTCCCTGATCAGGCTCTGGCTGCAGCAGGAGTGGAAGGTGAAGACCATATCCCTCAGGACAAGCCCCTGGAGGCCACCGTCCAGCGCGCAAGCCGTGTCTCCAACAAGGTCCGACGTCGTGTCGTCAACAAGGCTATGCGTAACGTCCGCTACGCTCAGAAGCGCAGCCAGGAGACGCTCCAACGGCTGCACTACACCGTGGACCTGGTGAGTCAAAGGGAATGTACAATTTTTGTAAATGTTTGGACCCTTAAATTGAATGGAGAAAATTATAACATCAAGGCCCCGGCCCCCCCACTCCAGGATCGGAGGGACCGCATTCGTGTTCCCAAAATGTCTGGTAAAGGGGTACTTTTCATGCATCAAAGGCCGGCTTGTAATGCAACAAAATCTGGCCCGTATTGACTTTACACACCAGACTTAGGGGGGTGTTTTCAAAAGGAGGGAACATGCATACGCGTACCCTAAATAACACTGAAGGGGGGGGGATCAGGGCAGTGTCTTACAAATAGTTGATATTAATTGCAACTAATTTGATATCAATCGCAACTATGTACATAAGAGATAGGAGACTGCAAACTTGCGATTGATTTGAAAATTTGCGATTGATTTGGATCAACCGTAACTCTTTGTGAGACAGGACCTTGAAATTCCAAAATTGGTATAATTTCATATCTTAGGTTGGATTTGATTATCAATGCTTGTAATGATTTGTGCATAATGAAGTTTGTTATCTTTTATTGCAAGCTCCTTTTACAATGTGCATATTTTAAAATGTATTACAAATGATAATTCCTTCTTAATTTGATGTGCAGTGTGTTCAGATACATTTGAAATCTGATTCCTTTCTCATAATGCAATAAATCAGAGAATAGATAGGGCGTTGTATTTGATGTGTTATCTATCAAATGGTTAGACAAAACAAAATTATGTTCCTTTCCTTACATTATGATTATAAAATCCGAGTCCAAGAACTAAATGTAATTCCCTCATTTCAACCTTATTTGTTGATTAGATGGAGTATGCTCGTACAAACATCGACTCGGCTAACAAGGCTGTCCAGTCCCGTGTGGAGTCCACCCATCAAACTCTGTCCAAGACTTGGGATGACTGGACGTTGGAGGAAGGAGACGAGACCAAGGGAGATGTCAAGAACGAGGTCGAAACTACTGTAAGCTTGAATCCTTCGTCTCGTCAAGTTGGTTTAGTGCACTGTGTAGCAAATTTGCATATGTACAAATAAAAACTTTCGGGAATTGCAAATTTCAGTGCAGAATGTTTGAAATTGTTGAAATTATTAAATTTTTAAGGTGTAATGTGAAGTAATTTAGGGGATAATCAATTGACATCTTGATATGGTTGGAATGAATAGGATGTGAGTAATGGAAGGGAAGAGGAATGAATGGAAGGTTACTGAAATTTTTTAGTATATTTTAAAAGGTTGATCATTAAGAACAATAAATTTTTGAAGAACAAGAAAAAAAAAAACTTTTACTAAATGAAACGCAGAGATGGTGAAAGTAAACTCAGAAAATCCTTCTTTTTGATACAATATTGACTATTCATTTCCTCACTTAGAATGGAGAGCAGAAGACCTTAGCCATTGCTCGTAACCTTGCCGGTCGTCTTCAAGTCCTGAGCGTCAACATCGCTGGCTGTGTTCGTCTCCTCCCCGGGAGCCTACGAACCAAGGTGGAGGAAGGCCGCGAGCTCGCCGACGCCCTCTATCATTCGCTCGAAGAGGTAAGCTGGAATTGATGCGCTAACCAATCATTATTCGAAGTAGACGGCTTAATAATTGTCAACGCATTCACTTTCTCTTTAATACTCCACTTCCACTCACGTTCAAGATTAGGCTGTCAAGAAGAAATTTGGTCTTGCTTTTATGATCATTTACTCTGTAATTTGTTTTAAACATAGAATTAAAACATTTCCATTCTGAACTCAAAGCATACATGCATTACTTATTCATATACTTGTATTTATTTCATCTGATGCATTGCTTTCTTCATGCATTTCATACAAAGACCCCCTTATCATGTTATCATTTGATAGTCAGGGGCAAAAATCATGTTTCTTCCCTGTCAATCTGTGGAGCATTAAAAGTATGTTACTTCCATTTTCCCTTGCATCTGTCCATTTCCTTTATCATTTGATATATATATACCAGTGGCCTAGTCCCCCCCCCCCCCCCCCCTCAGATATGTTAAATATTGCTAATATTTCTGACAATCCCATTGTTAGCTTGTTTTGTTCGAGTCTGCTGCATTTATCTTTTGTTTTCAAATTAGTCTTCCGGCTAACCTTGCTCCTTTCTTTATCGTGAATGATGATGTGATAAGAATTCTTATAGTATTCTTTTAGTAGTTGATAAGGGCTTCAGGTATGTATCTTATGTACACTTTAATTGCACATTACAAACAGTCTTCATTCAGTTTTGTTCTTGTTTGTTTCACAGACAGATCTATTAAACCAGAAGAAGAAATGTGTTTGAAAGACTAATACAATACAAATTTACATGCTTTTTTTTTGTCCCCTTCTTTTTATCAAACCCTATTGATATTTTACATATCCAGTATTGTTTGAAACACATTTATTTAAAAAAGAAGCTATAATTTATCCAATTGAGAATTCCTAAAATAAACAGAGTAAAAGCATACAAATATAGGGATATCATTATAATGCTTGATTTATTTTATTGTTTGATCATAAAGGATCTCTATATTTCACACAAAATACATTACTTCTATAAATAGAAAAATTGTTTTTTTGCAGGCTCAGACAATCCGAGATCTGCCCGCCAACGTCCTCGTCACCGCTAAGCAACAGTTGGACAAGATGTCCAACATCTCCTTGTCTGTAGCCGACTTCTTGGTCTCCTCCACACCTCTTCAGTGGCTGGTGAGTCCCAGTTCCTTCCATCAAAGTCTCATTCACATACGGCCCAGTAAGCCGTTTGGGGGTTTAATACAGCACGTATATGTGAACGAGCCTTCTTCTTGGTGGTTTCAGTATTGTTTATCACAGTTATCATATGGTATTATCATATTCCTTATTGGTCGTACATGTATTCGTTTATTGATCCCTCAAATCCCCCCCCCCTCCCCACCAAAAAAAAGGGGAAATTGTGACTGCTTAATGTTCTCCAAAATCTACCAAATACCTGAAATGGAAATCCAACCTTGATAGCAAATTGCTCTAAAAGAACACTGAAAATCAGAGAAACAGATTGATGAAAGTTTGAACAAAATATGGCAAACGATATGAAAGGAAGTTCTCAATTCTAAAATCTTCTAAACACATAAATATTGGGATTCGGAATCGGCCGAATGTTATGTAATGCCATAATGTAACTGTGACTTTATGGGCCTTATGGTGGACAACTTTTTCATTTGTTCCAGAAATTCCAATAAATATGACATTTTTAATGTCAGATTTTGATTACCAAAAGAGAGGGCCTGTTTTAACAATCAGCCTTTAAATATTATTCTCATATAATTATTTACTCCTTCCAAACCATAAATTTCTCTAAAACAACAAAGAGGTAGGGGGGGGGGGGGGCAAAACAACTCAAACTTTATTTTCACTAAACCTCCCATATTTAGTCTCATCAATAAAGGGCATAATATATTACATGTATATATTATTATATATTTCTGCAACTAGAATAATGGGGTTTATTTTTTATACATCAGTATGCATGTGGTATTCTTTTATTCAATGTACGTTTATCATTTCATCTTTAATAGTCTCATCAGTATATATAAACATGCTCCGATAATTTGTTTTTGTATTACTCTATTGTAGTTTCATAGTTGGACAAGCTTCTTAATTTAGCTTTTTAGCTTGCTTTTGCTTCTTTCAGTTCTTTGCAGTGTCTGTGTGATGGGTGGTTATGTGAGCTTGTGTGTCGCAAATGTTATGCTGCTTAATATCTACAAAGCACTATTAGCCCCAAACCCTAGTTTTAAAAAAACCTAACAAAATCCATGTTATCTACTAAGTCTGTAAATGCTCCTTGTTCGCTTTATACACAGGCTTAATTGTAAGACAGGACTTGCCTTTGATAACTCCTTGTAGTGCGTTCTGTTGAGTGTGTAGTTGTGTTTTGAAGCAATGAGTTATAAAAGATCTCCCTGAATGCAAGATTTCACCAGTGATAAATCGTATTTGTCTTGAATTTATCATGATTATTTCTGCCAAAGATTTTGTCCTCAATAGTGTTGTTAAGTTTGTAGTCTGGACGCAATCATTACTTTAAAAATAAAAAAAAATCCCCTAGAGCACAAAGTTTCAATAGTGATAAAGAACCTGTCTGTCTGACTTTTCCCATGAATCTTTCAAAGACATCAGTAGGATATCTTTGTAATATGAGTGCATCAGCATCCATTGTCAAGCTCTGGTGCAAGATGATATGTGTTGGTTCCAGTGTTTATTCTATCTATCTCCCATGATAAGGCCCTATAGTTTTATCCCCCAGTTCAGACAAACAAAATTCATTGTATAAGTATACAAAAACCATTTAGCTACATGTATGAAATGAGTACTTTGATATTTTGAGGCTGAAAGTCATATAGTAAGATTTTGAACAAAAACTTGATAAAGAATCAGGTCCAGGGGGGCGTTTCACAAAACTTGTCATCGGTGACAAATGACAGTTTGTGTTATAAGCTACTGAAATCCTTGCTTCTGATTGGTTATCAGCAGATTTGTCACTGATTTTTGTCATTGGTCTTTGAAAAAAGGCTTTATGAAACGGGTCCCTGTTCTCATCTGAACATTGTATCATATGCACACCATATAACTGGGCGGGGCTTATAGTGAGCGTACACTGATGATTGGCCCACCGTCAAGGTCAACTGCCCTCTTCAAATCTAATTTTTAGAATGTTTCTTTTTATTATCCCCTTTTTCACGTTATGTATATATCCAATCTTCCATACCTAGATTCTTAGCAGGATGTATTTTTGTATATTTTTTTTGTATTGAATTGGATTATTAAGAAATCAACATGACATGCAGCTCAAGGTTGATATTGTATGTTTTACAAAGCAATCAGATATTCACAATATAATAAAACAGTGTCAATAACTCAAAATACAAAAGAAATACAACAAAATAGCAACGGCAACATCTCACAGCAATATCATAAAAGATTTAGAAATATGTATCCCAGATGTGGATAGGCAGCCACCAAAAGCAGTCAAGGCAATGTCTTTAAATATTCAGGGATAAATTCAATTGAGCATATGTTCACAAATGTAAGGCTTTTTGCACATAAATATCACTTAAGACAAACAATTTTAGCTGAGTTAGAGAGGGGAATAATTTAATACACAGATGTAGCACATTCATATGGAGAACCATCGACAATGGGTTATGAAGAAAATAAAATCCCATCGCAAAAAACACACCAAAGTAGTCCCCGAAAGTCAATCCCCCCACACCCAGTTTGAATACCGGTCATGGGTGTCGATCCGTAACTGATACCTATTCATCAGGGGGGGATGATCTATTCATTCATCCCCCCTGATGAATAGGTATTACGTAAGGATCGACACCCATGATACCGGTATACATGCTTATGATTTTAAAGAAACATTTTTTACAAGTATTTTTTTGAGTGTGAACAGACTATCAGTCCTGTTGCAATGTGAAACAGCATCGCAATCAGTTGATCAAACTTGAATGACAATTTCACAAGCTTGTTGACTCATCAGCAACAATCGTGAAAGTCACTTGAAAGTCACCTGATTGGGATCAAGGTTCAAAAGCATTGTATCACAAGATTGCTGACGTTGACTTGTCTGACTGTTCCATTATCAGCAAGGTCTTGGCATTGAATCAAGACTATTTGCCTTGAAATCATATCATTTTATCAAACCAACTATTGATTTACATTTCTCAATAAATTAGTCAAAAGTCCCCCCAAATTTGACCCATAATTTCATTAAGGTCAGCTGAAAGAGACAAATTTTGTTTCATATATTTAAACAAGAAGGAACATGATTAGTTGATATAATAATAAATTCCAAATAAAGGGAAGTTACTTCAGTCTCAGAAAGATGATTCGTTGCAAGCAGCCATTCTCCTATTTCAAAAATATAAGCATGAAATAAACAAAGGACATATGATTGTACATATTATGGGATGGGGAAGTTTATGACATGAATTTGTGAAGGTGACATTGTTGAGGGCGGTGGATGAGAACTAGACAATTAATTGAAGCTATTCATTGTATATTGTGAATTTGGGGATAGATTTACAAAAATATGGCTACATGTATATGGAAAGAAAAGGGGAGGATGAAGGCTTTGTGTGCTTGTAGCATAACAGGAGAAGTTAAGCGGAAAGGAGAGGGAGAGACGATTGTGATTAAGAGCTTAGAGTGAATAATTCTGAGAGAATTATAGAAAGTTAGAGAGAAGGATGAAAATAGAGAAAGAGGGCGAGAATGATACAGATCGTAGATGTATGTGGTGATAGAGTGATGGTTCGTTCGTTGGTGTCTCCTTAGATCAAGATAGTTATGTAAAGTTCCTTAATTAAAATTAAATTAAATTAAATTAAGTTCTTCCATCGCCCGATTGCTGCAATGTGAGATTGACTAATGAACTAATGCTTGAAGTATATTGATAATATTGGAAGGTGTAAAGGGGTTAAATGTGTGACTCCGTCCTGATAGAGTCTGGTGACACTCAGAGCCAGCATTGTAACTCTGTATCAACAATCAACCCTTGCCATCCTTGATTCTTTCAACCATCCGCAGGTGCCGCATCAGGTGAGACAATACTTAGACACTTCTTCTTCCAAGCTCGCGTCCAATGGGCATGTCGCTGCTGAAAGCACCCCATCATCGCCCCTAGGGGACCACTCCTACTCCAAAAATGGCACCCGGTCCCAATGACTACCGGTAGCCATTGTAGACCTGCTGCAGGGCGTGGCATCAGGTATGGCATGGAGTCCCCCTCATGACCCCCCTCTCCCGCCCCCACCCAGTCTGAAGGGAATAAAGCCGCACCCCTCTCATGTAGGCACTTTGAACTATGATAAGCTCCTCATGCACCCATATGATACCAGGGATGTTTGGAGACAAGCCGCCCTGGAGGCGAGGCTGATTGGGGCGGGGCCGCTCAAGGAGCTCCAGCGCTCCCTCCGTGTCCTCGTCAAGTCCATTCACATCACCACCTCCCTTCACATTCGCATCAAGGTGACGGGGCCAGATCACACCACTAAGAGCCGTTCACGCCTCGATTTCACTGCATCTTCATCGGTATCTTTACCCCTCCCTGCCTCCTCCTCCTCACATCATTGCCGTCATCCTGCCATCGTGCTGTCAAGAGCCATGTCCACCACAGACTGATCAATCAATGACTGGATTCATCATTCTCATAATTATTCTATCATCATGAACTCTCAAAACTTACTTTTTATTTTTGCTTGAGAGTGGAAAATAGAGCTAAATTCTAAGAAAATGCTTGAAGACTTAAATGATTTTCTATGTACATTAATATGCTTAGTCATTGGACTGACAATAATATGTTATGCCGATGTGGATGAAATATGAAAGGACTTTATGGCGATTTCGATGTTTGAATTTGCAGTACAAGTGGAAGAATTTTGTCATAGTTCATACCTACATGATCTTAACATGATTACTGAAAGCTCAAGTAAAAAAAGAAGTAGCCACATCTACACATGTACTTCCCGAAAGCAAAAGCATATAAAACTAAAATAGATTGATGTATGTGTTTTCTAAATGAGGTTTGATTTACTAGATCTACTAGATACTTAGAATATAGAACTTGCTTTGTGATTTTTTTAAATAACTGAAATAAAGCAGTTTTAAATGAAATAAATGAGTTATTGCTGCACGTTAATGATTTTTTTGCTTTCAAAGATTTTATTTTAAATACAGAATTTACATGGTGTGTTGTTGATATTGATAAATGAAATAAAAGAATGAAATATCAGTCATTCTCATAATATTTTATGCTGCATTACTATATAATATTTTTTTGTTTTGTTAAATACTTAAATTGGACTTGCATGATAAGATTAGTGAAATAAAATAGAGAATTTTTTTTTGTACACCTGTAGTAAAGGACTTTTTACATATAGTTAGACTTTACAAAGTATGATGTCTGTTTAGATTGAATTCGAGAAATGTGTAGAAAGAGCAGAAAAAATCTTTTGTGACGATAAATTTAATTAAAAAAAAGTGGCGGTAAAGTAGTATAAGTAAATCCTTTTACACTTACAATATACCATAAATTCTAAGTTTTATTAAGAAAATCTTGGAGAAAATATGAAGATATTTCTGCAGGGTAATTTGTTATCATTATTTCATCACACATGTACAAGAAGTGCACTTTTTGTGGTTGTTTTAGTTAAATATACATTTACATGTACATGTATAATATAAATCTGATCTAGTTCTATTATGAACCTTCTGCTGCCATTATCACATGTATTTATGCCGTTCATTTTCACTTTTCAGAAGCTATTTTCAGTGTCTTATGCATGCATAGATAAAGCACATGTTCACAAAAACGTAGTATTTAGTTTAACTTCTATGGAATAGAGAATTTTATTACAAGCTTCAGAGTATTTATATTTTTAAAAATTTCATTATTATTGATATCGAGGTTGAGAAAAATACAATACGTCCATCAAAAACAATGTCTTAATACTGCCTTGCTGTTTTGAGTTATCTTTGATTTTTCTTTTTTATTCTTGTCCATTGAAGTATGTTTGATAATGTGTGTTTTCTAACTTTATGCTGATATAAAAAAATGATTTGAAATTGAAATTACCTTTTTGAAAAAAAAGAAAAGAAAAAAAAAACAGATTAAATTTTCTTTTCAAACAACAATTTGGCTATCTCATGCATCTTCTCATTTTCCTAAAATGCCTATCAATGATCCCTAAAATCAAAAATTGTTTATACCAAGCTTTATTGCATTGGCTGAGTTTGTAGTTTGGGGATATTTTCTGTTGTTTAATTAATTGCGTAAATTATTTTATTCTGCTTTGAATGCTCATTGCACTGATTCTATTAAAGTGCTGTAATATCCTGTGTAATTGATCTTTGGTCATAATTGATTTTTAAAAATATTTGCCACAGTATGTTTTAAAACTCTGCTGTGATACTTAATAATAAAGACATCATTATACTTTAACTCTTCTGCTTTGTCATTTATTTAGCTATTGAACCACATACCTGTGCATGTAAACTGTATTTGGAATATTTTACCCTGACTATGAAGTGATTATCTATACAAAAATATAGAGTTGAGAGAGAAAAATCAATAAAAGTGATAAAAAGTAAAGATTTTAAATATCATCATAAAAAATATTAATGTTTCAGTAACATAGAGGTGCAAAAGAGACACCAATAAAACAATTTTTACATTTCAAACATTTTCAAAAGAAAATTGTGGTAGTTAATATTATATCTCTTGAAATTAATTTTGAAATCAATAAATTACAATGAATATTTTAATTTCTACCCTTTAAAAAAATAAAAATATACGTCGGAAACAAATATTAAATGCTCCAATTCAAGGAATTACATTTTGTGTTGACATATTACTTTCCTTCCCCTGAAGATATATTTAATATCTGCTAGGCGAATAGTTAAAACTGGACTTTCAAAGCTCTATGCTTTCCTTTGGGCAATTTTTGTGTGTACATCATCCTTTCCTTATCCTGCACATTTATGTTTTTTTTTAGTGCTGCAAAACATGATTAGATTCTGTGTGTGTTGAAGTGTTCTGATATCAAAAAAAGTTCTCTGAAACAGTTCTACTTTGAATGAATGTGTGTGTGAAAACTGTTTGAATGTTGCATCTCGGATGGAGAGAGAATGAAAGTTAGAATTGATAACAGATACATGTATATGCCCTCCTAAAGCTCAACATGAGGCTGTACAACATGACAGGAATGAATTCACATCCTAAAAGAAACGCCAAATCTAAAAAGGTGTGATATTATTGTTGGAGAAAAGATTTGTATAGAGTCTGAACCTTCATTTGAGAGGGGATCAATCTGATAAATCTCTATTGCAAAAAATAAGCAAAATTGTATAAATCTGTGAATGTACATTCGGTGCGAAGCTGGACTTGGTGTGTTTAAAACTGGTTGAAATTCTAGGCTTCATTATACAACAACCTGTTAAGTACTTTAATTTTCACCTAAACATTTGCTTACCATTACATACCATTGCCAATATATTATTGCCATGCATGCATTCATCGCAACACACATGCTCTGCAATATTTAGTAAGGATTTCACTTTCTAACACACATGGTATAACAAGTCCACCACCATATGTACGTTATATAATCCTGTGATGAATATTTTTTCCTACATGAATATACTGTATCATACTTGTACAATTTGATGTTGTCATTCTTGACAACAGCTTTCAATTCATGTACTTCAAATCTTAAAAGAGAAAATATTTATAAAAATAAATAATTTGATAAACAAATTATCTACTGAGTCATACAAACTCCATATGATGCTGTGAAGAGTGAGTGAGTGAAATGCTTCTTGTTAATCCCCCCTTCCCAAATCCTGTGAATCATTTTGTCCCTATTTTCACGAAGTGACGGTAGTGAGGAAAATCGTAACGCAAAGTGAATGCAATTTTGTTTCACTACCGTCACTTCGTGAAAACAGCGACGATTTTTGTTTTTCTGAAATCTGGAGATCTTTCTCTTGCTCTCCCCTATCTGTCTCTCTCTATTTCCCACACCTCTCCATTCTCTTTATATCATATTCCTTCCATTTCAACACTATCTTCTGGGGCCTGTTTCATAAAACTTGATAGCAATAACAAGTTACAAGCTACTGTTATAAGGTACTGAAATCGTGGCATCTGATTGGCTGAGCGCAATTTTGTCATAGAAACTAAGCAGTTGTCATAGATAACAAGTTTTATGAAACAGCTAGGGCCCCAGGACTATGAGTAGGAAGGTCTTCATTGCTCACGCTCATTTTTTGGGCACATTTGCAATTTTTTTTATACATTGCAGCATTTTCCCCTTCAGATTTGTACTTTAATCTCATTATAACTCTAGTTTCCCTCAAACCACGTACCCCTTTCATATGACCAAATGCCATGCTATAAGTACCCCGGTATAAATCCCTGTTATACATGCTCTCATTGGGAAAAAATAATATCAAGAACATATGTTCCACTAAAAAAAGGAAATGCATTATCAAAGTATCAACCATTAAATCATACTCTTTTTCAAGCAGTCTTGGTCCTTTCTAATTATCACCTTCAGGTTCCAGACGTCGACATCGATTCCATCGAGTTCGACTGCGTAGCAGGGTCCGATGAATTTGACTTCGACATCCGTAGCGACACCTCCAGTGACCTGTAAATGTTGACATTTCAAACTCTACACAGCATCTTCAGTGATTCTTCTAAACATCCATGTTCAATGATAAAAAACAGCGATATAGAAAGACCGCAGGCGAGAGATAAAAGAAGCGGTCTTAATGGATAGGTGGTCTTTTCCTTGAACACACGTGGAAATGATAGCCAGGTGGTCTTTCTGTACAGGTGGTTGCTATTAAAAGCATGTTAGACTGTCGTAACATATTCCCATAATTCAAATCTTACGCATTTGCATATAAATAGGTCTATATTTCTCTCTCCTTGTCAAATATTTCACCGATTCAATCGTCTGTATGTGCTTGCACATGGGAAGTGGATAGGCCTACTCCATGTAAATTTGCATCTATAGCTTATAATTGTTGTTACACTTGTTATTGGATTTTACCATGATATACATGTACTTAATTCACAGAAAGTTAGAAACATGACTATTTGAAATCCTTGTTTACGTAGAATAAGTCTTACTTTAATTTGTATGCAATTTGGATATATTGCATGTTGCACATTTGACAGTTTCCTACAATATTGAATCACCATGTATACGAAGTACATTATGCATGTATACCATGTACACATACATGTACTTTACGATGTAGACATTATTACGTTATAGGTCATTTTACAAAGACATGGGCAGTAAAAGGAACTAACTGTGTGCCTATCCTTCATCTTACAAATTTTAAATTCTTGTGTGCTTTATAGAACTCCTGCACAAATATACCATAAAGTTATGATATTCAAGTTCTTTAAAAAAAATGAAGATTTGAACTAAGTGTACATGTATGTGAGTATAAGACTTTGATAGCCACTTTTATGATTGTAATGTTTTTTCCGGTCATTGAGTGTATTGGAATGAAAAGAAAAAAAAAGAATCAATTTGGGAGTTATTTAATCAGTGAGAATTTTTATCAACTTGATTATTTATTTTATGTTTAACAAAAAAGTATTCACCATTAACGAATATTCAATACCTGTACTAAAGTAATATTACTCATATTCATTTTTTAATTTATTTTTCATCAACTCGCACTCCAGTGTATAATTGGTACATAGGGTAATATTTTAAAGTTTGAACTTCTTAAGTTTTGTGTTTATGACCACTCAATTTTGATTTTGGAGGCTCCTATGGGGTAATAATATATCTGTAAAGCGCTTAGGCACATAGTTGGATCGATGTATTGAGCGCTATATAAAAACAGAATATTATTATTATTATTACAGCACATTTACAGCACAGGTTTTGCCATAGCGGGTCACATTTGTAGTTGGGATTCTTTGATAAAAAGATCAGAAATTTGAAAAAGTTTTAAGACTGAACAATGGCCTCCACAAAGAGCATGTATTTTATGTTTATGTTTGACAGAAGGTTTCAAGTACCAGGGTATGCATGAGTGATGTTCCATTGTGGTATATTCTCTGCAAAGCTAAATTGAAGAAGACTTTTATTAATTAAGCTGTGAATGATTATATAGACTGATACGCTAAATCTGAATATGCATGAATTAGAAAAACAGAATGAATATATGCACAGAATTTTACAGAATTTATCAAAACTAACATTTTCTTTGTTTCATCTTAAATTGCAATAAATTACATGTGCTAATAACATATTTCAGTTTATGTGTGTATTTCAGGAGTATTGTGTGACTTGTGTCGAGTTCGCTGGGAGATAATAATAATAATAATAATATTTAATTTTTATATAGCGCATCAATACAAATGTCTCTAAGCGCTTTACAAATATACTATTACCCCGGTCATTGGATTCAGTGCTTGCTGGCACACAATGTGTGCACAATCTCCACTTTCTGGGGAGCATTCCAGCAGGGCGTTACTTGACGCTCACAAGCTGTTTGACCAACAATGACTGCCGCATCCTAAAGTATATTAACATGGAGTATCTGAATTTGCTTATGAAAATCATCTCGCCTTTCTTAGCAGGCTTCCGTGGGAGGGGAAAGAGCAGAACAGGGTTAGATCATGGGGCAGGGTGCCGTGTGAAAGTGTTCTCCAAGCAATTTACATGTACTAGAAGCAGACCTGCCAACCTCCGGAGTTCAAAAACTGTATTCTTTAGTCCCCAAAGTTGTATTTTATTGACAAAGTTGTATTAAAAATATAAAAATCACGGATCAATGCCTCTTACAGTTCCTACATACAGGAGGAAATTTTTGTATGGATCATTGGTTGAATATGCACGATTTCGTCATGACTGGTGTGTTTGATGAACCGATTTACCAATGAACATCCTGAAATTGCTGATGTGAGATGCTCGTATGATACTTTTAATACTTCACCTTTTTTTTGTTGTTGAAAAATCGTATTTTATTGAGGAAAATTGTACCGTTGTATTTACTTCTAAAAATCATACAAAATACGTTTAAATTGTACTGGTTGGCAGGTCTGTAGAAGACATTGTTATATTTCTCGTTATGATAAAGTAAAAAAAAATTGAACTTTTTGATAGATTCCTATTGCCATGGTCTTCACTTTGATTTTGTAGTTATATAAAATGGAAACTATTTTACAATCTTGCTCTCTAAAAAAATGAGGAAGAGTATGTGTCCATTGCCCAATCAACTTGTGTTCTCTACTTCTGTATGTTTTGTCAAGTGATATGAACTTATTTTACTACAAACTTGGCTAAATATCAATGAGTTGGGCAACTAACTGCCCCCAAAGTTGTTCAGATTCATAATTACCCCCATCCTGGGCATTTTACACATTTGATATAGCTTTAAAAAAAAATTTGTCATTAAGTGTCCCAATAATGATCCTCAATTAAGAGAGGGGTGGGGTTGGAGAGTAATAGAGCGCTACGGGGGGGGGGGGGGGGGGGGGGGGGGGGTAGACTCAGAGACAGTGACAGAGAGAGATAGACGGTGAAAGAGAGAGAGAGAAAGAGAGAGAGGTAGACATTGAAAGAGAGATACACAGACAGAGAGAGAGAGAGAGAGAGAGAGAGAGAGAAAGGTACTATTTCTTATTATAGGAATTACACAAAACATCTAAAAAAAACACAATTTCATAATGCTGTAAATATCTTTTAGTATTTTTATTTACAAGTTATTGTACTATCAGCATTTACATTGAAATGTTAACAAAATTGAAGACATACCTCATCTTGGGTTAATTGGATTTACAATACTTAATATTAAGAAAGATATACATAACATGTAGGTGTCCGTAGTTGGAGCTTGAAGCAATTTCATACACAAGAAATGTTGAAGATAAGCGGAAATACAATCAACGATACAACACAGATACATGTAAAATAAACGTGTTAGTAGTACTTCGTCACAGGCACATTTTCCTAAAAATCAAAACTGAAATGATAGTACCATTGAAATTCCATTATTTTACACCATTTCAAATACCCATACCACATACATGTATTGTCTGTCTGGAGCCAGAAGGTTGTTAATCATATACACTGTACTTTAAAGCCCCACTGTACTACTTGTAGCTACTTGCTCCCTCTATACAATACCCGATCGGTGCCTGTTGGTCCCCCATGATCCTCTTTTTCTTATGTTAATTGAGAGCCGAGTTGATGAGATTGCCACCTGTCAGTGACCTTACTACAGTCTAATCCCCCCTGGCCAAACTAGTACAGATGGCCTTTAACACAGAGTTAATGCCTTTCTGACTCTCAACAGATGATATGTAGTGATTTTGCTTATAAATTAGAATTATGAAACCATGAATAGACTAAAATATTATGAGAACATAAAGTCAAATATAAGTCATTGATAAGCTTTTAGGTATCGAGGAAAACAAAATAATTAATAAGTGCACATTTGAAACGAATTTACTGCGCATAAATTTTGGATTGCCTGTCTAACTTAAGATGGGCCAGGGCAAAGCATTTTGGCTTAAAGTCAGCTTGCAAAGAGATGTACCGGTAATCTGAACAAGACATAGGCCATTTCTCTTATATATATAACTATAAACTTGTATAAACTATGAACTTTATTCAAGTATTGAATTGAATACCAGCACAGAAGTTTATATAGAGAACAGATACAATTGGATCCGCCACACCAGTAAGTGCTGAAAACTCATTAGCATAAATCGGTGAGAAACGCTTTTATCCAATACCTTTCTACATAAACAGGGGTGATAGTGAGCACTTAAAAAAAAAAAAAGTTTTTTTTGTTTTACCCTTAACCACGCCTCCCTTGAGTAAAAAAAAAAAGAAGAGGATTCGCGGGGAAAAAATGGCATCTAACAACATTCCCCCCCATTCAAGTTAGAAAATTGGGAAAAAATAGGGTAAAATAGGGAAGAATAGAGAAAATAAGGGGGGAATCAGGATTTTTTTTTTTTTTAAATCGGGAGGAAAAAAAAAATTGTGAAAACATCGGGAAAAATTAAAAAAATCAGCTTTTTATCAGGCCTGCATAAAGTATAGGAGATATCTTTATAATTAGGGCAGGCCTTAATGCAGAGCCAACGGCATACATGGGCCTACTACACTGGGTCTACAATGTAATACAAAGGTTGTCTAATTCAATATTTCCATCTTTGACTAGCATATCTTCATATCTAATGTTAGAGATACAAGCTTTTTTTCCTCCATACGCCTGAAAAGATACCCAAAAATGTTAGAGAAGCATACATTCTATACACGATGAAGCCTAAAAATTCATGGAACGGAGAGGTGACGAGATCGGAAATCAGGCAAGAGAATAAACACTGGTATCCCCGATTATGAATGTCATAACATAGGGATGTATGAACATAAGACCACCATTGGGAAGGGCCACTCTACTGGAAATCAACCAAACCCAGCAATGTGTGATAGAAGGTCGATGATGACGTTGCTATTGGACATCTTCGCTGTTTTTGGCCTTCAATCCAACTTGATCCATCGATCAGGAGCCATTGGCTCACAAGTAGCAGTTTTTCACCAATCATGTCCTACCTACAACCGGATCTAGCCTAAAATCGGATCTAGCCTAAAACCGGATCTATCAGGAGCCATTGGCTCACAAGTAGCAGTTCTCCACCAATCATGTCCTACCTAGAACCGGATCTATCAGGAGCCATTGGCTTACAAGTAGCAGATCTTCACCAATCTTGTCCTACCTAGAACCGGATCTATCAGGAGCCATTGGCTTACAAGTAGCAGATCTTCACCAATCTTGTCCTACCTAGAACCGGATCTAGTCTAGCAGCTGTGTGTAGTCGCTGATATCTCAGTCACACCGCCAAACCAACTCCACGTCGACTCCAAATTGACCGACTCTTTGGCCATTCAGACCGATGAAATGTCTGTTCCATCTGTGGTCAGCCTGGTGTCGGTCTCATTGGCGTGACCAAGGTATGACCGAGCTGTATTCCAATAAGATCAGTATACATGTGGCATGGACTACCTCTTTTCCATGTCGTTAGAAATCTTCTAAACCCTTTTATTTATTGCATTACTTCATGTCCATTGTCTTTTTTTATTTAGAATCAAATCCTGCTATCCAAGTATTAGCTTTACCACTATAGTGACTGCATTGAGGAAGATCAGTGGAACTGTCAAAGAATAGAAATAAAATGAGAGAAATATTATCTGTATAATTATATTGGTGGTATTCATAAGCTAAACAAACTGACAGAAGACAAACTCTAGGCAAATTAGGCATTATTCGAAGGTACATGTACTATAGTCTAAATCTTATTTGTGCCGATTTGAATTTATTACTTATGAGACATAACTTCTAAAAATGAGATCATGCACATGTTGATATTTATATAATTCACTCCTAGATCCTACCGTAGTCAAATAATTGGTCCAACACGGTCAAGCGTGATTCATTTACAGAGACTGTCCCACATTTTCATGAAAAAGTACGCAATAGTTCCAGTACTATCAAACAATTTTAAACTATGCGATGCTCAGGAATGAGTGTAAAGGCTGATAGAGTACCTCCACCTCCTCCCAGCTCCCCCCAAACAACAACAACACCCCACTGTATAATTCAGCCTACTGTACCTCTCATGACTAGACGTATCGATCGGATGAGGTTGATGATCTGAGCTTTCATTCCAGGCTCCTCTCCAAAGCCTCCGACACTCTGGTCTCCTCCCCATCCAACTGAAGAAGAAAAAAGGTATAGACTAGTCACTAGTATATACATGTACATTGTATGTATGTACTACGATGTCATTGATACATAAAGTTGCTTAGATCTAATAATATTAATCTTGTTAATAATAATAACAATGCACAACATTTATTAGGCGCTTAATACAGGTGTTTCTAAGCACACCATTGTTTGTCTAAAAATTACTAATCAAAACTTAAATCAAACACACACATTATAAATCTGAAAATAAATATTAGACCTAAAGTAATTTTGATTTTTAATACTGATATTGACTAGGCCCACATGACACCAAATCACATACATGGGTCTGCATGAACAACAGAAGTGAAAAAAGGGGAAGCTCACCTTTGCTAAGAAATCTCTCTTCGTTAAGTATGGCAATAGCATTTATGCATAATAAAGCTGCCTCTAGTAATGTATACAATCCGAAAGCCATATTTCTGTATATTACAAGTTACACTTTGTAAACATCAAACTAGTTTACTCTACTGCAGTGTGTATTGTCCCGGTGAATTGTATGTGTGTGACACTTCTACGTGGCAAATGAATGGGCAAGACAATATCAGCAAAAAAAGGTCACTGCATGCATGTACCGTACAGTATACGCACCATCGCATCGCATCGCGAGGGCTCGCCTGCTGTTTGGTTTGGCCACAACTACCCGCGCTCACGCGCGATCAGTTCTGGTACCCATTTAAATCCCCGAGGAAGCCCACGTGCGCAAGTAACTCCTGTCAACCACACGACTCTGTATGCCACTAGTGAATTGTCAGCTAATTTTATCGGGAAACTGACCGCATCAACTATTGCAAAGATGTTTTGGGGTAAGTAGAAACATTCCCCTGGTTTTAAATCAATGTTTCCTTTCTAAAAATCTAAAAGTAAAGTTGTAGAGATATCTACATATGATCCTTGAGACAATGTGGTAATTTCATGGTTCTTTGTTTATTAACACTCAACTGAACTCCAATCATTTCCATACACCGGAATGTACAAAGTAGCAATAGTAGTAGTAGTTTAGTAGGTAAAACAAAGTTTTCCTTCCTTGAATCCGTGCCCACATCATCATATCTGTAGTTTCCATGTGACAAGCCTAGCTACGTTTGTACAACAATTCCAGTCAATCTACGATATCCTCAAAACAAAAACTAAATTTGGCTTCTTATATCTTGATCCTTACATTCCTCCCCCCAGTTGCAGCTAGAGGATGCAACGATTAACACCTATTTAACCAAAACTTAATTGTCCACCACTGATGTAAATTAACAAAATATCAACTGTTATCTACATGTACATGTATTATCAAATGTTTACAACCATTTTCTACATATTGTCTCATAACCTAGGTAAAATTAAATTCAAACACTTTCTATTTATATAATACCTAACTGTTTCCAAAACAAATCATAATCACAATAAGATGTAACACTTATATCTCTATACTCTGTCAATTTCTACTATCTAAATGCACAGAATACACTAAATTCTGCAAAATCAAGCTTTATCCCTGGATTACTATAAACATTCCTGTATCAACTCAACAAAAGCATCCAATACAAAATAATCATGAATCAATGATAACTTTAAATCAAAATATTTTCAATGTTTACTCATAGCTGTCAAACTTTTGTCAAAATATAATACCTATGGTAATTAAATTATCAAAAACACAATTTTCGTTATAATTGCCTTTCAAAAAATAACTCTGGAAATAGACCAGTAATATGAAATCCAAACACAAGAATTGTTCTTCCAAAACAAGAATAATTAGTGGCTGTATTTACTACCTTTAACATTTTTCCTTTTGTTTTTACTTAAACATAAAACAATTTCTGAACACCTTCAATTGAACTGAACTGATGTACATGTACATCAACATAAAGGAACATCGAAATAACGTAGATGCACATGTACTTTCAGACAATAGAGAAAAGGAAATATTTAGCATTGTGCATAATACCATCTTCATACATGTAATACTTATACTTCCGCTTGAACATTAACCTTGTTCTTTCTATTTGCATATATCAATCTATCCGAAGTTTACCTGCATGACTGAAGTCACATTGTGGATTGACGACTAAGCACATGCAAATATCCTTGCCATTTGCACATAAACTAAATAACATTCCTTACTTCACTTAAACATGTTAATCCTCAATTTAAATATAACACAATCTGAACTTCCTTATAATGCTCTACACTGCAGAGTGCAGCCACATATATTTAAATCTTTTCATTCATGTTAATGTTCTGAACATCTAATAAAATGAAATTTCTAACTTTCTATGTCAACAAATACACTGTTTTCATAACACTTTCTCCCTTTAACCCTATTTGAGTTCTCTCTTTCTGGTATGTTTTATATTAACAAAATGTATCTGATTTTAACTCTGAGGCTAATTCAATCATTACTTTGAACAAATTTTAACAAAATATTCTCTTTTAATTATTTGTGTACATGTATGTTCAATCATCCTCAATTTAAACATCCCAATTGTGATAACACAAAGAAATATTGAAACTCAACAAACTTACATAATGTACATATATGAATATAAAACATCAAATTTCAAAACAAACATTTCAGTCATGAATAGCATTTCACAGAGTTCAACTTAAACAGTTTGAAAGTTCACTAGTTCGTTCCAGGTCATGTTCATATCCTTTATCGTTCTTGCAAAGCATAAACAATATTCGGTGCTGACTTATCATAATTAAATGTCTTAAATTGACATCCTTTCATGGAAGCGTCCTCTCTTGAAATCGCGTAAAACTTTGCTCTCTTGCAATTCGCGTGTTGACAAAATCATCCTGTGTAAATTCGCGACTTGACATATGTTGATCCAATGCAAATTCGCGATAAAACATATGTTAATCCAATACAAATTCGTGATTAAACATGTGTTGATCCAATGCAAATTCGCGATTAAACATGTGTTGATCCAATGCAAATTCGCGATTAAAGATGTGTTGGTCCAATGCAAATTCGCGATTAAACATGTGTTGATCCAATGCAAATTCGCGATTAAAGATGTGTTGGTCCAATGCAAATTCGCGATTAAACATGTGTTGATCCAATGCAAATTCGCGATTAAACATGTTTTGATCCTGTATTGGCTCATTATCACAAATGATTACCAATTACTAGCCAAAGGGCTATTAATAATTTACTTTTCACTTTAACACAAACACAAAATTTCACTGGCGCTCTGAATTCCACTTGTTCGCTTGATCCAAACACAAATTGCTTCATTTGCTTGATATCCTCCTCCAATAATGATTCAAAGCACATCCATTTAAAGGCACTTTCACATATTATACATATAGATCCTTTCATAAATTTGAGACAAACTCCATTCAAATTTCCTGCTCCAGTAGAATACACAACTTGGTTACTGGTCTTACTAGCGATGTTGTTGCAGTTTTCACTTTCGCTCTGCGGACGAACCCCTTGTTGTCTGGCATAACCTCTTGCACTCGGGCCATGGACCAGGAACATCTGTGCGCTGTTTCGTCTATGACGAGTACAATGTCCCCCACCTGAAGGTTACGACTTGGCTGCAGCCACTTTTGTCGGCGTTGTAGAGAAGGCAGGTACTCTCGCACCCACCTCTTCCAGAATAGGTCTGCCAAGTACTGCATCTGTTTCCACCGCTTCTTTGCGTAGATGTCCTTGTCGTCGAAGATCCCTGGAGGTAGCGTCGTTGAACCCTTCATAGTCAGCAAGCTGTTTGGTGAGATTACATCCAGATCATTTGGGTTGTCTGAACATCGGGTAAGAGGCCTACTATTTATGACGGCCTCCACTTCACACATGAATGTATGGAGCTGCTCCTCATTCTGGTAGGACTTTAGATACTGCTCTCTCATGACTGCACACAGTATCTTTCTGACTGTTCTAATTTGGCGTTCCCATACTCCCCCCTGATGGGAAGCAGCAGGAGGATTGAAATGCCATTTCATGCCATGGTTTGCATGAAAGTTGATCAGCTGGTCTTGATTCAGCTCCTTTAATGCCTGCTTCAGTTCCCTTTCAGCTCCTACTAAATTTGTACCATTATCCGAGAACATCTCTTTCATAGGTCCTCGGCGGCTGATGAAGCGACGAATAGCCTCAATACAGGAGCTTGTGTCTAGACTCGATGCAACTTCAATGTGCACCCCTCTGCAGGACAGGCATGTGAAGATTACGCCATATCTTTTCCTTATGCTTCTTCCACACTTTATTTCAAAAGGACCAAAATAGTCCATGCCAACTCTGGTGAACGCCGGCTCGTCGCTCTGAACTCGACTTCTTGGAAGTTCTGCCATTTTCTGATGACCAGCCTTTCCTTGGTTCTTTCTGCAAATGATGCATTTCCTTGCTATGTTTCGTGCTAAAACTCCAGCTCCTACCACCCAGAATTTCTGTCGTAATTCAGCTACCATGTGATTTTGTCCCTGATGACCAACTCTCCTATGGATGTATTGCATTAAAAGAGTGGTTACATGGTGCTTCTTTGGTAGGATGTATTGATGTTTAGCACTGCTTGGAATCTGGGCATTCTGCAATCTTCCACCTACTTGAAGTAACCCATTGCTCAATTCTGGATCAAGGTTACTAAGGGTAGAGCGTTTTGGTACTCCTTTCTCTTCTCCGTGACCAGCCAGTCGTTTCATTTCCTCTGGGAATGATTCAAGTTGCAATTGTTTAACAATTGCGACTTCGGCATCTTCAATGTCCTTATTTGTCAGGCTGAACATTTCACTGGAATTGCCATCTATTCCTTTCCCCTTTCCTTGTAGCATTTTCTTGAACTTCAATATCCAGGCAACTCCTCGTTTCAGCTTATCCCAATCAGAATAGTGCGACAGGAGTGCACTTATTGGATCCTCCTTGTTTATCATTGTGGCATGAATGTGAGTCTCATCCAAATCTCCTGACATAGTATCATCAGCTTTCTCCATTCTTGCTGGAGCTTTCACACCCTCAGATGGCCATATTTCTTCAGACTGCTTTAGGAATTCTGGGCCTTCAAACCATTCCTTCTTCTTGGTTAGCTCACTGGCATCCAATCCCCTGGATGCATGATCTGCCGGGTTTAACTTGGTAGGAATGTACTTCCACTGATTTGTCTCTGATCCATCTCGGATGATACTCAGTCTGTTTGTCACAAATACTGGATATCTGGCAGTTTCGTTGGCAATGTATTTCAGAACTGTTTGACTGTCCGTCCAAAATACTGTCTCATCCAACTCCATATTCATTTCCCTCTTGATCATACTGTCTTGCTTTACTGCGAGTGTTGCAGCAGTTAACTCCATCTTAACAATAGTGTGAGGCTTCAGTGGGGCAACCCTGGCTTTGGCTGTCAAAAATGCCACATGAACCTCTTCATTCTCATCTGTCTGTCTCAAGTAGGTCACAACACCATAGCCATCCATGCTAGCATCGGCAAAGTGGTGCAGCTGTCTGTTTGTCACTATACCAAAGTTCTTTGGTTTTAGACATCTTTCAGTCTTCACCTTGTCAAGATTTTG